GATACTTAAATTTACTATAAAAATATATGAGTAGGTCACAACCCATATATTAAATTTACTATAGATCAGTACTATTTCAATACCAGTTCGATACCAGTTTGGTACTTTTTTGGAACCCTGGAAATACTCTTAAAATGTAAAGCATGCATAGAGAAACAGCCCGATTCTAATCGCATTGATTGTTGTACTTACTATCTTATGACCAATTGGTCAGACTTTCTTAAAGAAAAAAAACTTATTCAAAAGATTTTTGAATCGTAAGGTTATAAGATATTATTTTAATATTTATATTGTTTTATTTACAGTATGGATTTCTAATTAAAGCAACCAATATAGATTATTTTTTATTTTAAGTTTTATTTGGAATTTAATTATATAGAAATATATTGGGGTATTATAAAGAAGTATGCCCGTAAACATTGTGAATATAGTCTTAAGTCATTATAGAATGTTGTTCCTGCTGCTTTGGATTTTGTTTCTTTTGAGACCATTTGTTTATATACACAACTGTCTTTCTGATAGATAGATGCCTATTGTCATGGTTTGACAGAACATGCTACAAAATATGCAGTAAAAACTCACAAAGCACATAGAACTATTAATGAAGAAATTATGAACAGTATTAACAATCTTTTAAATTAGTTTTTTTTTCATTTATAGAAATTTCCCTATTTTTCGTTCTGTTTCTAAATTGTTTTTTAAGTTTCTTTATAAAAAAAGTATAAAATGTTAACATTTATTTTTTATAATGGAGAGATGGATAGAAAGTGGTGACTATAAGTAATTAGTTAATAAAGAGAAAATATACTTACTTGGCCAAATCGAACACCTTACAAGTAAACTGCACCTTCACAATTTGGTGGTGACTGTGAGATTTGATGTTTTATTCTTCCAATATTTTTACACAAACCTTTTCCTATACATTATCAACTCTTATACTGAAAAGCCATTCATTACAAAAAAAAATTAATTAAAATTTTATTTACAGTACTATCCAACTTTCTAATGATTACATTCATTCTATTTACTCCTTATCCTTTAGACACTTATGTAGCAATTCAGAAAAAAGAATGATCTGATCTAAAGAAGATGTAGCAAGAAAAATCAACTGTTAAAAACTTGAAATGCTTTTAAGACTCCAAAATAGTCAATAAACAAACATATATGTGCGACATTCGTAACAATTCTTAAAAAGTGCAATGAATCCAGATGTAATATTTAAACTTGCCCAGCAGGTAAGCCTATTACAGAAGTTAGCAGACACTCTCAGTAACATGGTGGACCTGAGAATTAAGAAACAAGAGAAAGAGAGGATCCGCTGGGTTAAGTTATGTAGCTTTGAAGAAAGAGCTGAAGAAAATCCATACGAATGATTAGAGCACTATGTAAAGACTGCCGAATTCAATAGTTGGATGAATGGTAGAAAATTAAAAAGAGTAGGCTGCTACTTGAAAGAAGGTACCAAGGAATGGTACAAGAACCACCAGAACCAGTTTGTCTATTGGGATGAATGTGACAACAAAAAAAGCTTCATACAACCTTCCTACAACACTTCGCAATGTTCGAACAATAACACTGGTGGAAGGCAAAATTGCGAAACTTAAGACAGAAAGAGAAAAAGAAGATAATTAGTTATGCCTATAGATTTCAAAAGCTAGTGAAGAAAGTTGACCTCAAGTAAGAATATTTGAGGAGATACATAGTAGGATTGTTCACAAACAGCCTAAGAAAAGGTATAATATGTATGCCTACTGTTAAAAACACAACCAGCATATACACAGTGATTAAGACTGTATTAAAGGTTAAGAACACTAGTGATGTATCTTCTTTTTTAAAGAGAACCCTGACCAACAAAACCTTGAAGCCCAAAGAATGTTGCGACGAAACCCTAACGACTATTCCTGATAAGATCCAAGATGAGAAACCTTACGACACATCCCTTTTAATAAAAAGAACCTGACTGATGTAACCAAAAAAACCAAAGAATACTATTATAAAGCTTCAATGACCAGCATTGATAAGACCTAGATTAAGTGAAGAAATAGTAGAGATCATAATACGCATCAGAAACCAATAACGCCACCTAATAAAAACTTAAGGAAAATGGCAAAAAAAAAGAAAAAGAATATCAGTATTTGGCACATAGAAAAAAATCAGAGATCTACCTATAATGGAGCTCCAAAAGATGAAAATACCGGAGCACTGAACCAAAATACAATAACACAAGAAAGATAGTGAGTGAACAGAAAGAAGTCCAGGGATTGGCACAAGGACTAGAAGGAGAGAATCACCAAAAGAAAGCGAGGAACCAACCTGAAGACGTGTTAACTGTGGACAAGGCTAAAGGAAGTCTTGTTGAGAAGATATGCTCTGAGTCGCCAAGAGAAGTCAACTATGAAAAATGGATTGGTGAAGCTGTCCAAGGGAACGATGCAAGAATCGAAGGACAAGTACTAACCTATAACAAAGTATCATTTACTCACGACTACACAAAAATATATAAGGAAACAATAATTACAAATGCCAGAAACATGGTTCCTGAAGTTATCAGTTATCAGATTAAGGCGGAATACAAGCTTGAAGAAAAGAAGGAGTTAATTCTGAGCCTTAAACGAGATGAACACTTCAAAGAAAGAGAGAAACGATAGGACAAGTTGCGATGATGTTATCAACAGTTTATTACAGATCGTATCAAGACTTATAACGCTCTAATCCAACAGATAATCCTATAGAGTAAATGAAAAGATATCAGAAAAGAACTTGCACAAGTAACACCTTTGATAAGAGGAATGAGATTAAGAAATATTCAAACTTGAAAATGACAATCATGGGAAATGTAAAAAAAGATGCACAAAATCAAAACAACATACCTGTGAAAGATCACATTTATATTAATACACATAAGCCAAAATTCAAATAACTTTAATCAGATGTCATGTGCTATAACGGAACTTATCATAACCTAGTCGAGAAAGGGATCCTATGAGAAGTTTTGAGTAAAGAAAGCATTATACTGATAATGCGAATTATGATAGCCATGCCATATTATCATGCCATGAGGATAACCCACTTATCATGCTAAGGAGTAAAACACAAGTAAAAAGAAAAGGTGACCATCGAACCACCAAACCAACAAATAAAAATGGCCATCACTAATAAAGAGACACTACGAAGGACACACCTAATTGTAATCTTAATGCATGGAATGTATAAGATAGATGTGGAGAGTTGTAAGAGGGAGAGTAAAATAAAGGATAATACGATTATAGTCACGTAACTGAAAATCAATCTAGAATTATGAAAAGAAAACAAAGATAAAAATAGATTTGAAACCAGCACTAGAGATGAAATAATAATGATGTAATTAGTGTTAAATTATATAATAGCACTAAAAATAAGTAGAAATTCCCTTATCTTTCGTTTTAAGTTTTTTTGTAAAAAAAGTATAAAATGTTAACATTTATTCTTTATATTGGGGATATATATAGAGTGTAAAAGTCTTAATAAAATTGTTAGTGATTTCAAAAGACAGTGAACTTGAGCGATTATTATTTTAACGCCAAC